TTGGAAGAATGAGGGGGAAAAAAAGGAAAAAATATTCTGTAGTAGAAGAAAGTGAAGGAAAGATAAAGAAGGGAGTTGTCAAGAGAAGGAGTGAGAGGTACATTGGGAAGGTCTAAGACGGCTGGTGAATGAATCACATCTGCCCTCTTCCCACACTCCAGTCCCAGGCCACTGAGTCTGGAAGAAATTTCTGAATGGGGCCAGGTGCAGTGGCTCATGCCTGTAATCCCAGCACTTCAGGAGGCTGAGGCGAGTGGATCACTTAAGGCCGGGAGTTCGAGACCAGCCTGGCTAACATGGTGAAACCCCGTCTCTACTAAAAGTACAAAAATTAGCCAGGCATGGTAGCATGTGCCTGTAATCCCAGCTACTTGGGAGGCTGAGGCATGAGAATTGCTTGAACCCAGGAGGCGGAGGTTGCAGCGAGCTGAGATCTCACCATTGCACTCCAGCCTGGGTGACAGAGCAAGACTCCATCTCCAAAAAGAAAAAAAAAGTTTTATTCTGTATTTTTGCTTCTATTCATGTGACTGTAATCAGTGTTTTAATAAGCTTTCCAGGCATTTTTTTCTTTAAATAGACATTAATTTTTAGAGCAGTTCTGGCTTCACAGCAAAACTGAGTGGAAGGTACAGAGATTTTCACATGCACAGCCTCCCCATTGTGATCGCCCCCCACCAGAGTGGTGCATGTGTTACAGTGGCTGAACCTACATTAATACAGCATTATCATTCAAAGTCCATACTTAATATTAGGGTTCACCCTTGGTGGTGTACATGGTATGCATTTGGGCAATGTATAATGACATAATGTCTACCATTATAATAGCATACAGAATAGTTTAATGGCCCTTACAGTCTTCTGCATATCCACACCTGCCTCTCCATCATGACAGGAACCACTGGTATTTTTACCATAATTTTGTCTTTTCCAGCACATCCTATTACTGATACTGTACAGTATATGGTCTTTTCAGATCGGCTACTTTCATTTAATAGAAAGCATTCCAGGTTCGTTCATGTCTTTTTTTTTTGAGATGGAGTTTCGCTCTTGTTACCCAGGCTGGAGTGCAATGGCGTGATCTCAGCTCACCGCAACCTCCGCTTCCTGGGTTCAGGCAATTCTCCTGCCTCAGCCTACTGAGTAGCTGGGATTACAGGCACACGCCACTATGCCCAGCTAATTTTTTGTATTTTTAGTGGGGACGGGGTTTCACCATGTTGACCAGGATGGTCTCGATCTCTTGACCTTGTGATCCACCCGCCTTGGCCTCCCAAAGTGCTGGGATTACAGGCTTGAGCCACCGCGCTCGGTTTTCATTCATGTCTTTTCAAGGCTTGATAGCTCATTTCTTAGTGCTGAATAATATTGCATTATTTGGATATACTACAATTTACCCAGTCACTTTGATTGCTTCCAAGTTTTGGCAATTATGAATAAATGTGGTGTAAACATCTGTGAGCAGGTTTCTGTGTGGACATAAGTGTTCACCTTCTTTGGGTAAATACCAAGGAGTGTGATTGCTGCATCATATGGTTAGATTATGTTTAGTTATATAAGAAACCACCAGTCTTCTAAAGTGGCTGTACCATTTTGCATTCCCATCGGCGATGAATGAGTTTCTGTTGTTCCATATCCTCGCTGGCATTTGCTGCTGTTAGTTGTAGGGTCCAGCCCTACAGGGTTCTATGAGCCTCTCCCTGCTGATGTGGAGACAAGAAATTGTAGAAATAAAAGACACAAGACACAGAGATAGAGAAAAGAGAGTTTGGGCCCAGGGGTCCACTGTTAACCAAATCGTGGAGACCAGCAGTGGCCCAATACCTGGATGCTTCCACTTCTATTGAGTTGCCGAGGACAGGGTAGGTAGGGCGTGGCCTAGGTGGTTGGAGACTGGGGGCAGGGTAGATAGGGCATGGCAGTGATAGGGTCAAGTGCATCATGTGTCATGCAGGTAGGGACTCAGGAAGGGCATAATTCGTCAGTACTTTTTCCACACTTGTCACAAAGACCTGAAGATTTACGTTACTTCTACTGATTAATTCTTACAAGAAAAAAGGAACCAGGTGCAGAAGCAGAACATGGGAGTGGACATGGAACATGACCCTTGAAGCACAGCATCATATAGAGACAATTAAGCCCCTGGGTGTCTGCAGGTCTACCTGACAGCCATCAGGCCTTACCACAAGAGCTTGGAGAAGCGGAGTTTTCCCCTAACTCCTCTGAGGAAGGAGATCTTTCAGCTATTTTGGATGTCTCCTTCCCTAGCTGGCTGAACAGCGGGCACTTTCCCATCGCTGGTGCTGCTGCACAGCCAAGGCGCCCTCCAGCAACCTTTATGGGGATGTGACAGGGCTTAAAGTGTCTTGCCTCAGGGTCATGCATTTCACAATGTCGCCCCAAGTTCACACTTCTGACCTGAGAGGCATTAGTAAAAGAATTAAGATCACTTATAAATCACTAATAACTACTATGGTTATATTTCTAGTTACTTTCTTCTTCATTATTTATATGGAAATAGGATGAGGCTTTTGGCTCCTGCTTCGGCACTTATGGGATCTCCCCCCTACAGTTAGTGTTCTGGATTTTGGCGATTCTAACGGATGTGGAGGTTTTTTTTCCTTTGAACATTTTTTTAGATGCTTATTTGCCATTCTGTATATCTCCTTTGGTAAGGGGTCTGTTCGGATTTTATGTGCTGTTTGATTCAGGTTTATAATAATTGTTTATATGACTTTAGGAGACTATCATTTTGTAAGTTTAGATAATTTGTAAAGTATCTAGTTTATGCTTTATTTCAGAAACTCCAAAGACTCTTTTATTTTAAAAAGTTAATTTTTTTTTTTTTGGGACAGAGTCTTGCCCTGTCAGCCAGGCTGGATTACAGTGGTGCAATCACAGCTCACTGTAGCCTCCAGCTCCTGGGCTCAGGTGATCCTCCTGCTTCAGCCTCCTGAGTAGCTAGGACCACAGGTCCATGTCACCATGCTTGGCTAATTAAAGATTTTTTTTTTTTTTGGTAGAGATGGGGGCTTGCCATGTTGCCCAGGATGGTCTTGAACCCCTGGGCTCAAGCGATCCTCCCACGTTGGCATCCCAAAGTGCTGGGATTACATGTGCGAGCCACTGTACTTGGCCTAAGGAGCCAGTCTTAATCAGAATATTTATTGTAAAATGTTAAGAAATATATTTATATTTAAAAATTTTCTTTATAATATATTACAACTAAACTCTTTATAACCAGGCAACTGCTTTAATGGATATGTAATTTGTAGTCATCATATAATTTGTGATTCCAATGTATTTGAGAATGACTTACAACAATTAAATCTACAAGAGTTTAATCATATTTGAAAATGATTTACACAGTTTAATCTACTTAGGGAAATTATTTGGCATATGCTATTAGATATTTTTTTCTTAATAGAGTAAGGCAAACTGTAGCTGAAATTGTCACAAATTTTGTATCAGTGGGGTTCATGATCAGTAGGGGCTATTTGTGCTCCAGTTTTTTCTTATTTTTTATTTTTTATTGTTTTTTGAGACGAAGTCTCTCTCTGTCGCCCAGGCTGGATTGCAGTGGCATGATCTTGGCTCACTGCAACATCCGCCTCCCAAATTCAAGCAATTCTTTTGCCTCAGCCTCACAAGTAGCTGGATATACAAGTGTGTACCACCATGCCCAGCTAATTTTTGTATTTTTAGTAGAGACAGGGTTTCACCATGTTGGCCAGTCTGGTCTTGAACTCCTGACCTCAAGTGATCCACCTACCTTGGCCTCCCAAAGTGCTGGGATTACAGGTGTGAGTTACCACACCTGGCCTGTTCTAGCTTTTTAGACATAGAGGTTTAGAAATATGTATCTACAAGCAATAATTATTTAAGAAGTTTAAGTGTTGGGATTCCATTCTGCCATTTCATAGTTGTGTGCCCTTGAGCAAGTTAGTATTCCTTTAGACATACTAAAAGAATAGTGTCTATAGTATTTAGAGATTAGACATCTGCTTCCTAATCTACATGATGGAGATAATAATAATTCCAGCACATAGGGTTTTTGTGAGAATTAAATGAGATCATGCATATAAAGAGATTGGCAAGTGACTGGGATAGCCTGTCTGTTAATGTAAACTACTGTCACTGTGTAATAGAAAATTTGTATTTAGGAGCTTTTTTAGTTAGGGGATTATATTAGTCCATTTACACACTGCTGATAAAGACATACCCAAGACTGGAAAGAAAAAAGGTTTGATTGGACTTACAGTGCCACATGACTTGGGGAGGCCTTAGAGGTGAAAGACACTTCTTACATGGTGGCGGCAAGAGAAAATGAGGAAGAAGCAAAAGTGGAAACCCCTGATAAACCCATCAGATCTCATGAAACTTATTCACTATCACGAGTATAGCATGGGAATGACCAGCCCCCATGATTCAATTACCCTCGCGGTCCCTCCTACAACACATGGGAATTCTGGGAGATACAATTCAAGTTGAGATTTGAATGGGGACCCAGCCAAACCATATTAGGGATGAATACCTTATTTCTTTAATATAAAATTAAATATTTTATTTATATGTATTTTTATGTATGAACTAACTGTTCTTATGTCCTTTATTACAGCCTTTCATTACATTTATTTTATAAATTATATTTAGTAACATGTTTATCTATATGAAATAGTAGAGATATGGGAAATTATCTCAACTAATCCGGGAATCTGCAGAGAAAATAACTGAAGTTAAAAATAAGACAGCTTATATTTTTAGCACAGTGAGCAATTGTATGAGCTCATATAAGTATTGATTAATATTTTAGAAGCCATCAAATAAAAGGACAGTGGTTTATCTTTTTCTGAATCAGGCTTCCTGCTTATTTTCATTGATACCATCTTAAAATGTGTATTTGCAACTTGGTTTTCTGTACCTCTTCACAATAGAATGATTAGCACTTGATTGAATTGTCAAATTATACAGTGTTTTATTGTATCTTTCTTTGTCTCTAGGATGATTGAGGAAAGTGGGAACAAGCGGAAGACCATGGCAGAGAAGAGGCAACTCTTCATAGAAATGCGTGAGTCTTGAGTCCTTGTTCAGATGTGTGGGAATGTTTGTGTGTTTTTTTTTTTTTTTGATCAAGTCATACCTTTTAATCAATTACAAGTTTTATGTTATAAACTCCAAGAGGGAAGAATGAGAGTTAAAGAATCAAGGAATTGAAGGACCCCAAGCCAAAGCATGTATTTTAATAGAATTGACTTGCTTTCTTAGGCAAGGCCATAAATAACAAGGCAGAAATGTTACCTAGAATGTCTGTGATTTTGTACCATGCCAGTCAATTTAGATCTCTTGCTGTAACTCCATTGTTACCATGAGCTTGCAGGTGGTGATTAGTGATTAATACATTATATTAGTTACCTTCTACTACATACCAGTTCTGAGACAGAAGGGGTCTAAGTGTTAGGGCGACACCTAGAGCTGTTGGAAAACTAAAAAGAATGTGTATTTTGATATATTTTTAACTTTAAATATTCTGTTAAAAATTAGATTTTTTTTTTTTCATTTTTCTTTACCTTTTTTTTTTCTTATTTTTTTATTGCATTTTGGTTTTGGGGTACATGTGCAGAGCATGCAATACAGTTGCATAGGTACACACATGGCAGTGTGTTCTGTTTGCTTTCACCCCTTCACCCACATTTGGCGTTTCTCCCCAGGCTATCCCTCCCCACCACCCCCTCCCACTGGGCCTCCCCTTTTCCCCCCAATAGACCCCAGTGTTTAGTACTCCCCTCTCTGTGTCCAAAACTTAGATTCTTGTATACAGTTCAAACAAAGAGAAGAAGATGGCTGAGAGGAGTGGGGTGGTTCCCAGTCCTTGCAGGATTGTTTTGCTCTGTGACTGTTAGTCTATGTGACCATGTCTATGTGACCATGACCATGTGACCTTGACCAACTCAAGGTCGAATTTGCTGAACCTCACATTCCTTTGCCATGAAATAGGGGTTATTGTCTGGACCAGTGATCATGAAACCTTTAAAAGTACTATACTTTTTTTTTTCAGTGACATCTTACAAGGACCCTCAACATTATGAGTATTATAAAATTGCTAGTGTGGCTGAAGCAGGAGAGAGGAGGAAGAGCTGGCCTGGGATAGCCCCTGGGGTCCTAGCAGAATTCTAGAGTTCTGTATATTGCAGTATGAAAATCAGTGGATAAAAATCTCAAAAGGCCCAACTCTCAACATATTTGACATCTTTAGGGTCTTTCTAATGGTAGGCAGAGTTTGACTCAGCTAAGTCGTGTGTTGTCCTGTCAGTCATAGGCTGGAAACTGTTTGTTAAAGGTGGGAAAGAAGAAATTTTGACATTGGATAGGCAGCCTTACTGGGTAATCATTAAGGACAAATTTCTAATTGCTAGTAATCCAGGCCAGATACCTTGGAGTCATTTCCCTTCACCTCACCTTCTACCTCTAAAGAAATCAGAAGGCCTCTGAGTTTTACCAGGTACATGAGTCTGAATCTGTTCGTCACACTGCAGTGGCTTTGAGTCCAGCTTTGCAGTTAGACTGCTTAATTTGGATCTTGGCTGCCTCACTTCCTGGCTGAATAACCTTAGACAAGTTAACTTAATCTCTCTGGACCTCTGTTTCCTTATCCATAAAGCAGGAATGGCACTGACTTCATAGAATTTTGAAGATTAAATGAGATAATGTGAATAAAGCACTTGGTACAATGCCTGACACAGAGTAGGACATACTTGTTATGGATGATTGTGTTTATCACTAATGTTTTCTTTAATCATTGGTACTTTTCTGAGCAAAAGTAATAATTTCCTGATCCCTTTTTCTAGTCTTGACCTTCTCAAATCTGCTATCTATGGTCAGCTACCAGATTGAACTATGTAAATCTGTGCTACTTTTTTTTTTTTTTTTTTGAGATGGGGTCTCGCTCAGTTGCCCAGGCTGGAGTGCAGTGGCACCATCTCGGCTCACTACAACTTCTGCCTCCCAGGTTCAAGCGATTCTCCTGCCTCAGCCTCCTGAGTAGCTGGGGTTACAGGCACTGTCACAACACCTGTCTAATTTTTGTATTTTTAGTAGAGACGCAGTTTCACCATGTTGGCCAAGATAGTCTCAAACTCCTGACCTCAAGTGATCTGCTCGTCTTGGCCTCCCAAAGTACTGGGATTACAGGCAAGAGTCACTGCGCCCAGCCTAAATATGTGCTACTTCTTTGCTTAAATTCCTTTATTTGCTTCTTATCACTTTAATGGGAAGGACCTTACTCCTAAGAATGCCAAGCAAGACCCTTCTGGCACCTTTTTTGCTCTTCCCCTGAGTTCCCAGGTTTTCCATCACATGCTTTGCATGTTACTTCCCAGGAATACTGAGTTGGCTTTCCTGCAGGTCATGTGACTTCATGCCTTGTGCTTTTGCACAATACGGTTGTCTCCACCATCTGGCACACTGCTCCTGCCTACCCTTCAAATCTCAGCATAGGGGTCATCCTTTCCCTTCAACTTTGAGTGCATTTGTTGAGGATCTGCTATGCTCCAGGCATTATTCAGGGTGCTAGGGCTGCAGGGGAGAACAGAACACAGTCCCTGACCTCACTCATGAAATTTCTATTCTAGTAAAAGGAAGCAGACAAAATGGGAAACCAAATACACAAACATAGTAATTCCTGATATTCCTGATACTCAGAAGAGGCTGAGGTGTCTTAAGTAAATACACGTGAGTGTGCAGGCATGACAGGGGAGAGATCTGAAGTAGTCCTGCCAAGAACTGGGTTTACTTTTTCGTAAATGTTACTACTGTTACACAGAAACCTCATAGGAATTGTCATCCTCTATAACAAACCTAAGGATAACAGTCAGTCGGGGAGACATTTGGGGAGTATGACTTCTTGGGTCTCCCCTGTTTCTTCACAGGCAGAATTGCATGGGTGACTATAGTATGCTCTGCTGGAAGACCTACCCCCTAATTTCCGGCAACGTCAACCAGAAACTCCAGTATAACTACTTTCTGTGGATGCCAGAATCACCTTTTTCCAGCCATTATTCAGTTGTATCATTTAGTATGTTGATTTTAGTACGTCAGTTTTGAATCTAGGATGATTGAGGAAAGTGGAAACAAGCGGAAGACCATGGCAGAGAAGAGGCAGCTGTTCATATACTCTTTCTCAGCTCTTATTAGTCTTAATGTAGATGTCTACTTAGGTAGGTAACCATACCATTGTTTTTCTTTTTTTCTTTTTCGTTGAGACCATGTCTTGCTCTGTTGCTCAGGCTGGAGTGCAGTGGCATGATCACAGGTCACTGCAGGCTCAACCTCCAGGGCTCAATTGATCTCCCTCTTCAGACTTCTGGGTGTCAGGGACTACATGGGTGTGCCGTCAGACCTGGCTAATTTTCTTATTTTTCATAGAGATGGGTTCACACTATGGTGCCCAGGTTGGCTCAAGTGATCCTCCCACCTCGACCTCCCAAAGCGCTGGGATTACAGGTATGAGCTACCGTGCCTGGCCAGAAACTACTGTACCATTTTTAAAGAAAGACAGTCTTGACTCCTCCTTTTGTAATTGTAATCCTTATGCCTTTTTCTTGACCTAGTGTACTGGTTAGGGCCACAGATGTTATATTGATAAGTAGGACAGACAGCAGGCATCCTTGTCTTGTTTTTGATTTTCATAGGAGTATTTCTGATATTTCACTGTTAAGAATGATGGTTGCTTCAGGTTAACCTGATAAAGGTGGAAGAACTAATATGTCCTAATTTGCCAGGAATCATTATCACTATTTTCTTTTCCTTTTTCTTTGAGATGGAGTCTTACTCTGTCGCCCAGGATAGAGTGCAATGGCATGATCTTGGCTCACTGCAACCTCTACCTCTTAGGTTCAAGCGATTCTTCTCCCTCAGCCTCCTGAGTAGCTGGGATTACAGGCTTGTGCCATCATGCCTGGCTTATTTTGTGTTTTTAGTAGAGACGAGGTTTCTCCATGTTGATCAAGCTAGTCTCGAACCCTGACCTCGTAATCCACCTGCCTCAGCCTCCTAAAGTGCTGGGATTACAGGCGTGAGCCACCGTGCCTGGCTATTTTCTTAAGTCATGAATGAATATTGAATTTTATCAGTGTTTTCTCCTTCCCTTGAGATGAATGAATTTCTTCTTTACTCTGTTAATATAGTGCTGGGGCCAGCCATCTTTTTCTTAAAGAGCCAGAAAGTAAATATCTTAGGATTTGTAGGCCATATGATGAGTTCTTTGTCAAGCTACTCAACTCTGCCATTGTAGCATAAAAGAAGCCATAATAATTTAATAATCTAAATAGTTTGTATATTTTTAACTTTAATTTTCAGAATATTTCCTTTTAGAGCTCTTTTAAAAAAAATAATTGTAACTTTTAGATTCAGGGAACACCTGTGTAGGTTTGTTACATAGTTCGAATTTTTCAACCCTGTGTTACCTTCACTATTATGACTTTATATAATATGCTTAAGCCTTTATGTTTTTAGGCAGCATTTTTACATTTTGTTATGAACAGTGATGAAATTAGTTTATTCTTTCTTTGCTTAATATTTTCTCTTTTAGACCCTAAGCAATGTGAGAATAAGGATCACATCTGTTTATTATGGTGGTGCCTCAATAAATATTTATTAAAAGAAGAATGGAATATATTACATAGAAATAATTTGGTAGTTTATGATTCTTCCATGATATAAAATCACTTAAGAGAAATGAAAGGTAACAGATGAGAAGAGTAATCCTCAACTCTGGTGCTAATGTGAAAGCTCTCCAGTTGATTCTACAAGGTACTTGATACCAGGCCTCCATGCTCAGAGATTCTGATTTTATTTTGCCTTTTCTAAAGTTTGCCAATTTTATTGGCAAAGGACTGACTTTTGGCTGTATTGGTCCTCTTTATATATCTTTGTTCTCTGCCTCATTTGTGCTGTTTATTTTCCTCTTCATATTTAGGCAATTCTGTTATTTTTCTTACTTCTTATGTTGGGTTACTAAGGCCATTTGTTTTCTTACATAACCAGGCTTTTTTTTTCTTATGTAAACATTTA